GATATTTTTACGAAGACTCTATCGGCTTCTCGGTTTCGGTTCTTGTGTGACAAACTCTCAATGCTTATTGATGTGGCATTGTGAGTTTGAGGGGGGATGTTAGCCTATATATTATTAGCCCACATGTTTATGGGCCCTTTAGTCTTTAGCCCATTAGGGTTTTATCTAGCTAGTATTTATATCTGCTTTATTCTTTGTAGCCTTTATGCTTTTTATTGAAAACCTTGTAATTTCCCTCTATCATAATCATATGACAATGTTATCAGTAATGAAGGGAAAAATATTAATGTTATAAATCACCAACAAACAACATACGAGTACAAGTATAGAAAGAAAGAACTGACATTCGATGACTCAAAATAAAGACCAACGCATTGTCCAAGCTATAACATCAACAATCCATGGAATACTCAAGTTCCATAAAATTTCATGGATAGGAACCTTTAGTAGCATACCATCAGCAAAACCTCAAGTAAGTCGAATTCTAGAGACCAATGATATCGTCAAAAGAGACAAAAGCAAAAGAACGGACGAACCCATAAAAGAAACGATAGCCAACGATAATGTCCCATACCAAAAAGTCTAAATCAGAAAAAGATTGCCAACAAACTTAAAAGTAAACATCCATAAATTTTTCCTTTCTCCAACATGACTTTCCTGGACATTGAACGGTATGACATGAATTCCAAGGGAAATTGCATAACATATGCCCAATGAAAAGCAACACACAGACCAACACTAGAAAAGAAAAAATGTCAGTTTGGGGAACAATATAGAGTAATAAATACAAAAGTCGACAAACTAGTAGCATCATGTATACTTTGAGATTTGTTGTTCCCAAACTGGGTCGCAAAGTAAGTAACGATCTGAAAGAGAGATGACACATCTAGAATGTGCATAGACTTTACCGACTTAAACAAACAATATTCACAAGATTGCTACCCCTTTTCAAGAACAAACTTTACGACTCGAAGTTTAATAAGCTCATGGGGCTTAGTGCACGAGTTTTTTAAATGTAATTTTAACACTTTATTTAAACATCTAACATATAGGGAAAAAATTATGGATATGAGAAAATTAGTAGGTATATTTCAGACATTCTTTCCATTTTAAACAAGTCAACCAAACAATCAGGGTTAACGGACTTATGAAGATATAATTTGAACAATTAGATAAGTAACTAAAAAAAAGTTGTCCAATAATATTCCCTATATTTAATATTTTTTTATATATATGCTCTTAGGTACATGTTAGAAACTTTGTTGTATTGTACCCTTTGATGAATCTCATAATTAACTCATGCAATAATTAAGTATATTTGTATAACTAATGTGTAAATAAAAATATTAGGCAATTACTAATCCAACCAAATTTATTAATGACTACTCACTTTTTAGCCAAAATTTAGGACTTAGTCCAAAATAGCCATCAAAACCGTAGGTATTTAAAATGGTCTACTGTTTCGCCCCTTTACCTACGGTTTCGACTTTACTACATAAAGAATTTTTTTGAAAATACAATACGAAACTGTAGACCTTAAAATGATCTACTGTTTCCTCTAAATGATCTACTGTATCCCAAATAGTAGATCTAAAATGGTCTACTGTTTCGTCAAAAATCTCCGGTTTTGGGTATTTGACTACTATTTTTTTTAAATTGTGAAACTCTTATGTAATATGTATTTAAGTACCATTTTGAGCGTATCAAAAACCTATCGTTTTAAGTCCGAATTGCATATATTTTTTCTTGATTACATACGTATATCTTCTTCCTAAAATATATGGGTCTGAAATCTAATATCGTTAATGTATTGTTATTACCCTTCAAAGTAGGCTTCATGTTGTTAACAACGACAAAAAATAGCATAAAGTCTCATTTTTAGCCTATCAGAAAAATATCGTTATAAGTCCGAATTGCATGTTATTTTTCTTGATTATGTTGTTTGTACCTATTTCTTGTCCCAAAATATCCGGGTTTGAAATTTGATATCGTTTTTATGACACTATGTTTTTTTTGTCGTTTTTAACATCACAAAGCCTACTTTGGAGGGTAATAGCAATGCGTTAACGATATCAGATTTCAAACCCCGATATTTTGGGAAGAAGATATACGTACAAACAACATAATCAAGAAAAAATACATACAATTCGGACTTAAACTGATAGGTTTTTGATACACTAAAAATTGTACTTAAATACATATTACATGAGAGTCCCAATTTAAAAATAATAATAATAATAACTAGAGGGTAACCCTCGCTTCGCAGCGGGTCGGAAGTTAATTTAGGTTAGGCAAACGTTTTTGTGCCTATGTTGTCGGTGGTTACTATATGTAATACATTCAAATACATTTTTAAAGAAAATATATAGCAAAGTATGGAGACATATTTTAACAAAAGCAAAGATAATTGTTTTTAAGCTTCGTTCATGGCTTTTGGTGGCTTTTTCAATCCCTTCCATCCTGATTAAACGATGCAAATCACTTTGGAAACTGAATAAGTTTATAGAAAAGTGGCATACATGCCTCCCAATTATGCATGTGCCGAAAATACCCCTGCAGAATAATTACCATAAATGAAGATAGCAATTAAAAGCCTTTTTGTTTTATTTCCTTGTTAAATCGTTAGATTCTTTTATAGCCTTATAAAGACTAAAATGCCCTTTAATAAAAGGGTCATAAACAAATTTATTTTGAGGGTTTCTGCACCTTGACAGTTATGTCATTTATATATTATTTCAATAGTAATTCATGTAATCATGCAAAATGAAACATACACTTTCCATTCTTCCATTTGTCTGTCCTTCAACTTTACCCACAACAAACCATCTAAGTGCACAAAATTTAATATAAAATATTAGAAAATAACTTCAACATTTAATCTAAAACATTTGCAAATTGATTTCTTTACGATTTCATGCTCCCAACCTTGCTCCCAAAAAATTGTAATGATTGGAGTATTAGAAAATAAATGGATTCAAAAGGTAGCATAAAAAAAGTAATGTCTATGTTAATTTTAGTTTAAAAATTTTGATTAAACCTGGTATAACAAATCTAAGAAGTCTAATTATTTGATAATTTGAGTAGATGAAAGTCCAATACATAAAGCAAAAGAATATTAAAAAGCAGTTATATCCCTTAATGTTAAAATCAAAGTTTAAGATATAACAAAAACAAAAGCAAATATGTGGAAAGCAGATAATGGTACGTTAGTTATGTGAAATTAAGTTTTTTAGTATTGATATGATAAGTTCTTTAAAAAAAGTGTCACCAAAGTAACTGCGATTGCTTGTGCAGGGGTATGTATCAAACCTCCAGCATATAACAGAGCTATCGAGACATATATTCTCCTTTTTTCTCCATTGAGTGAATGATTTTATAAGGTTTTGCTCGCTGAAGTTAATTACCCCTTTGTGCTTGACAAAAACTAATAGCCCTCTAATAGTTTAACAAAAGCAACCATGAACACAGTTGCTAAAATAAGTTCATAAAGAAACAATCAAGAAATCATATTTATTATGAATTTCATCGAATAATCATACCTGAATAAGGATGATATTAGCACCTTTCTCATGAGCAAATCTTGCAGGCCTGCAATGCATAATATTCTGTGAGAATTTAGACAAATGGATTTTATAGTAATTAGAATACTTACATCCACAACTAATAAGAAAGGAAAACATATATATTTCATTTCAATCTGAAATATTACTTGTATAGTATTCCATCATCCAAACACTACGGTGTGAATTCGCATATGGAATCAAGTAAAACATAAAAGAATAACCTAAAAATTGAGACATTTAGTTATTATAGAATATCAATCTAGATAAAGAATGAAAACAAATAAGGTTATGGAGAAAGTATATATGTTTAGAAAAACTACCAGATGATGTGCTGAGCCACATGTTATTGGAAAATTCATATCCAAGCTGCTGCCAATCAAGCACAACTGTTAAGTGAAAAAAAATTGTTTATCAATGAGGAAACAAAATCCATATATCTCCAAACACGATTTGTTGAAGATTTGAACTGTTGGAGGTGTGTTGACTAACCTCATGAGAATCGGAAGGATATTGATTCAGAAGAGATTTTGTCATGACCGATATGTCGTGAACCCAGCCAATAGTGTCACCGGTTAGGGCAAGATCAGCGGCCTTGGCAGCTTGTTTGACAGGTAAATGACCACCAGCTTCTGGGAAAGTCGGAGATGATCCTAACGATGTGGATGTTTTCGAAGGAAAGGTTGCAAGTTTATGTGCAATTCGCCAAAAACGTCAAATCGAGGGTGTCGATGTTGCCTGCCATTGGCCTAGAAATTGAAATTAACAGGGCTCAACACAAATACGCCGATTGACACAGAAGACCCAAAAAAACAGTGCGACAACCCCAAATCGAAGTAAAGAACGGAAAAAAAATAAACATAAATCAACAAATAAACACCTGAAGAATATGCGTCCGACAGAGTAGAGAAGCGGAAGAACGGGATTACAATATCCAAGGCTCCAAGAAGAAAGGGTGAAAGATCGCGTGGGAGAAAAAACACATACATATAAGAACGTGAGCCAGAAACCGGTGGTAAAAACTTTAAGTCGGTAAGGGGGGTGAAGAAGAAGAATTCTGATCGGAAGAAGCAATGGAAGAGTGGATTTAATATGGAATCGGTGTTTCTAGAAACCATGACAGAAGCATTGGATAGAAAAGAGGAGTGAGAAACGCAGGTGGGGAAGAGGAAGAGATAAAGACGTATCAAAGGACATTGTGTATAGGCGGTGGGTTCACTGAGGAAATAACACGTATAAATCAAGCCGATGACAGTGCCATTGAGCAGCCAAAGAAACAAATCAACCACCATCAACCAGCCGCTGACCCATCGGCTCCAAACCAGCCAGCCAAAAAAGAGCTGGTTTGCCTAGGCTCTGAGACTGACCAGGAAGGACGAAATTGTAATATTAATAAAGAGCTGGACCAATTGTGATATAGAGGAAATATCTGGACCAAATATGTTAAAAGACGAACAGGTTTACTGTTCCAAAGCTTCACTTCTTATATATATATATATATATATATATATATATATATATATATATATATATATATATATATATATATATATAGTCAAATACCTAAAAAAAATACCCAAAACCATATTTATTTTGACGAAATAGTAGACCTTTTTAGATCTACTATTTGGGATACAGTAGACCATTTTAAGGTCTACAGTTTCATATTGAATTTTGAAAAAAAAAATCCTTATGTATTAAAGTCGAAACCGTAGGTAAATTGGCAAAACAACAGACCATTTTAAATACCTATGGTTTTGATGACTATTTTTGGTTAGGTCCTAAATTTTTGCTAAAGAGTGAGAAGTCATTAAGAAATTTGTCTAGATTAGTAATTGCCTCTAAAATTTTTAATTATACTTACTTTTTAAAAATATAGACATACACTATTAGGTAAACATATCATGTTGCCTTCTTTTAAGGGTTTTTAGCACTGTAGCACAACAATATTTGACCAATTTGCACATTTAGTCACTCATGTTTTTTTTGTGCTTAATTGGTCCTTAATGTTAGTAATACCAGGTAATTACGCCCTCATTATCTGGGATAACTGCTATTCGTAATGATGGAGATTATGCTAGTTTCATTTTTTATGCTTATGGAGCCAATAGTTTAATTTCCCTATATGTGGACCATGATGGTCAAGGAATAGAGGACTGGTTTGGCTCTGAGATAGAAGATGAAGAAGATGGTGATGATTCATGCATTAATGGTGGTAAAAATGAAGATGAAATTGATAACCTTAGAGATGTGGAAGTGGACTTTAATGATGATGTGGTCATTATGAATAAAACAAAGGGTGATGAGTTTCTGTCTAAATTATGTGGTGAAGAGGAAGAAGGAAATGATAACAACATAGGTGATAATGCTGATGGGGGTGAAGAGGAGGCAAATGTAACTCAACAACTCAATTTTTAATGAGTTAACTCCATGGAAAAAACAATACCCAATACTTGGTATGAGATTCAAAGATCCAACTCAATTAAAATCTATGTATGCTACTATGATGTCGCCAATGGTTACCAACTTTGCTTTGAGAAAACTGATAGGAAAAAACTGTTGGTTAAGTGTTGCAAGGGTGAATGAAAATTCAGGTTGTGGGCATCTTGGATGGGTGATGAATCAAGCTTCCAAATTAAGTCTTTAAAGCCAGATCACAAATGTGCAAGGAACTAAAAGTTAGGGTTCATGGTCACTTATGCTTGGATAGGGAGTCATTATACAAGAGAGTTCTTACTTAGAAAAAAGATGAGTGTTAGAAAGCTTAGAACAGTTGTGCCACAGAAGTTTGGTATTCATGTAAGTGTTGGTTAATGCAAGAGAGCTAAGAAATATGCACTCCAACTAATAGATGGTACCCTAGTTGAATATTATGCTAAGTTGTGGTCATATGTAGAAGATATTTGGAGATCAAATCCAGGTAGCATTGTGAAGCTTGATGTAAATCATATGCCAGATGGGAAGAAATACTTTCATAAGTTCTATGTTTGCTTTGATGCATTAAAGAAGTGGTGGACCCAAATGCTCATCAGTATCTGATGGACAAAGACCCGAAGTCGACACGGTCAAGAGCCTACTTCGAACCAGGAAGATGTTGTGATGTTTTTTTAATGTAATGATAGTTGATGCTAGGAAGAAGCAAATTATCACCATGTTGGAGGAGTTGAGGATGTATATTATGGAGACGCTGGTCAACATGAAAGCCAAGGGTCAAGGATGGAGCAACCAAATTTATCCAACAATTAGAGAATTAGTGAATGAGATTAAGAAATCCCAAAGACATTACCAGGTGTTACCTAGTGGATTAAATCAGTTTTAAGTAAGAGGAACTAGAGATGCTTATAAGGTGGATCTTGAAAGGAGAACTTGCTTGTGCAGGCTATGGCAACTTAATGGAATGGGTTGTGTCCATTCTATTGCAGCCATAAGTTATATGAATAGGGATGTAGAGTCATATGTTGACAAAATATTTAGTAGCATCACTTACATGAAGGCATACAAGTTTAGGTTAGCACCTATGAATGGAAGTAACTTACAGCCTGCAATTAAGTACACCCCACCTTTACCTCCTGTTCGTAGAACTATGCCTCGGAGACCTGAAACTAAATGGAAAAGGGATGCAACAGAAAACCAGTCAAGTAACAAATAAAATAAGAGTAACCAAACACAAGAAAATGGTAAGGAGCAGGTGAGGCTATCCAAGGTTTGGAAATAAACAAAAAGGTAGTCTTTGTAAGATTGAAGGACACAACAAAAGAGTTTGTACTCTTGCAAAACAGGTAAATTAGCATTATTTAGATGGTTAACTCTTTACGATTTTTTTTCCTAATATTGTTTCATATGGGTCAATTAGGGTGGTGTTGAAGTCAATGAAGGTGATGTAGTGAATGAGGGAGATAAAGCAGTCAGTGAGGGTGGACAAGCAGTCAATGAGGGTGGAGACAATGTCAATGTTACTGAGATGCATGTGCAACAAGACTATGATGAGGTGGAACTCACTACTTTGGAGTTTGATGAATCAGGAAATGGAGAACCTATTGAGGTTCATGTGCAACAACAGGAGGTTATGGAAAGACCAATTGCAACCCTTTTGAAGAAAATCGGAAGGAAGAAATCTGAAAGGTTTATCAAGCTAAAGCTGGGCAAGAGAGTTGGTGGTGAAGATGCATCTGGGAGTTCAATATCTAAAGCTCTTACTCTAGATTAAGCTAAAATGTTGGTTTATGTCATATAAACTTGGTATGTAGTATGAAATTATGTTGTTTGTTGTACTTTAAATTGGATGTGATGTGAAGGGTCCATGGTGTGAATTATGGTTGTTTGTATGAAACTATGTTGGTTTATGTGATGTGGAATGTTTATTAAGTAAGTTGGTTATTATTTTGAGTTATTTTTTGTGTTATTTGTAAATTGCATGCATGGCAAGGACTTGTGTGGTTAAACTGCATGGCAAGGACATAAATGTTCATATATGGCCAATTTTAAATCGACACGGATTTTCCTTATATACCAAGTGTGGTCAATATGTCCTTCTTTTTGCACAAAATGGACCCCTGCATAGAAATCAATTCACTTTAAAATGGACCAAGTATTGTCCATATGCTCGACAATGTGGTTCCCACAATTCAATTTTAATAGGAGAACATGCATATCATTAAGTACAAAAAGGTATATAACAACTTGGATCTTTCATACCATTCATTAAATTTACAAAAGTTCATACAATATTACCCAGCTACTGCTATCCCAATACAATTGTTCCCAAATTTCCAACAATTATATCTACCATACATTCCAAATACACACCCTGATGAAACCAACATTCATCCAAAAACCTGCCCACATATAACAACCGGGATCTAACCCTCAGCCAATTCATCCAAAAACAAAACAACTTTCTACTTTCTTGGTCATCTACCCATGCACTATCCAAAAAACTGGTTGGAATTTTATACCATCAACCAAATACCTTGTTTGATCAGGCACACTTCAAGGACACTTCAACCAAATCCCAATGACTAAGATGAACAAAACAAAGATCACACACTTAGCAATTCCAAGGTAAGTCTTCATCACAATGTTTTTCTTCATGAACTCCATCAAATGTCTCTCAAAAACTTCATTCTTTGCTTCCATAGCTTACTGCAGCTGTGTCACCTTCTTTTGAGCCTTCGAAACATCACAGAAGTCTTCCTTTTCGCGCACCTCAAACCTCAACTTACGAAGCTTCTTTTTGTAGTACCCCTCCTCCATTGCATCGTCTTTCCACAGAAAAAACTTACATTTTGGACCTTCAACTAACTGATTAAAAGGGAAGACGACAATTAGGGTTACGATTAAGGAAAAGGTGTACATTTTCAGCTCAAGATACCTAATAGGGTGTAAGTATATAGAAGGAATACTCACCAAGGCGTTTTTGCAGTTCCAAAACCTTCGAGCAATGTTGTCGTCCATCCAAACTACCCTTTCGATGCCTATTCCGTCTTTACAGTCACAAGGTGGACACGCTTCATCATCGCGATGGTTTTCGACACGCAGGAGGTTGATCGATCGACCAGAGGATGCAGATATTGCTTTGGTTATATCTATTGAGTAGAGGGTATCGGGGTGACCTAATTTGGGGTAGGAATGTTTCCTCTTTAGTTCGAAGGAGGGTTCCATTTAAGGAAGGTTTCCACCATATACAATGACATGATCAAATGGTAGTCCACATAAGCCAAAACACGTTAGCAGTGACCTGTAAACCGGATACATTTTCTCCCACTCCCTTAATTATCCAGTATTTACTAGCGTTAATGACCATTTGAGCACACAAAAAACATGAGTGACTAAATGTGCAAGTTGGCCAAACATTCTTGTGCTACAGTGCTAAAAGCCCTTCTTTTGAAGTCTTGATGATACATGATTGGTTAAAATATCACTTTGTGCTTCTTATGATCTTGTTATACCCTATTATAAAATTTGTGATTCATTTTATTAATATTGCACGCAATATAATGTTACATTTTTAGTTACACATAAATGTTGTTATATATATATATATATATATATATATATATATATATATATATATATATAATATATATATATATATAGAGAGAGAGAGAGAGAGAGAGAGAGAGAGAGAGATTAACGATCGGGTTAGGACTCAAAAATTGGCGATGACTGCGATGACAAATCTTTAGCGTAAGATTGAAAAAAATAAAAGGTGCTGATTTAATTTTATTTATCATCAAAATCTCGCAAGATCATATGGTGTTTTGGTAATTATGTGCGAAATATTGTTAACTTCTAATCAAGGTTAATAGTTTTGAGGGTTAAAATGAATGAAAAAAAAAATACATCTACGGGACTGCATTGTAATTTTGGATGTAAGATTGGTTATGCCAAAACATCAAGCATTAAGGCTGGTAGGTGTTATATCACACTCACCACACTTTTCAAGTGTCACGTTATTTTTTATCACATCCCACAAAACTGTGGGGTGTCATACCTCACTTTACCACACTTTTGTTTTTTTAATTGAACAAAATTGTAATTAATTAAAAAACATTTCGTTTTTTTTCATTTTTTAGTTGAATAAAATGCAATTAACTACAAAAAGTTCATTAATTTAATTGAAACGATTACATTCCTAAAAACGAAAAAAAATACATACAAACGATTACAATCCTAAAAACGACAAAAAAACATAAAAACAATTACAATCCAAAAAAAACGATTACTACTTGTAATATTTTTTAATGATGTCTGTTCTAGCCTTCAAAACCATATCGAGCTCATCTCCGTAGAGGTGATCGAAAGGTTTTGTTAAAAAAATTTATATCCCAACTTCTTTGTTTCTCCTCTCGAGCTCGTTGCTTTTCCTCTCTTGATCTTTTTTCTCCTCCAAACGAGTCTCAAAATTTGAATTATAAATTTCCAAACTATTAGCAACTTTATTTACTTCATCAGAAGACCATAACTTCTTCATTATAAATCCGATTTCGACGATCCTTGTATCTATGAAAAGGTAACAAGAAGCTCCACACTTTTATCATCTGATAATCGCCTCAAGATTTCTCGAACAAAAATCCAATTTCCATAAAAGTCTGAGCTGACACTTTACCAAAATACTCATTGGCTCCAAAACACAAACTGAACCCCCGGATCATCTAAATTTTCATCACCCACATTCAAATAGGTCCAGATCTCATTTCATCAAAGGTCCTAAGCCTGATAATAACCAATCTTTGGTCACCACCCCAAAATAGGAAACGATTCAGAACAGGGCGTTACAGTTCAGGATCCGGTTGAGTTTCCCTGACAAATTCGTCTTTCTGTGATGACTGACCGTATTCCAGGAGGAGGGGGGGAATTTTTTTGAAACGTGGTTGGGCTAAGTGGTTGCATCGTATAATATTGTTGTGGTATTTTTTGATAGATAAATTGTTGGGGTAGGAGTTGGAGGCGGTGCGAAATTGAAGACAGATCCATTTGTGGTCGGTAAACCGACGACTCAACCAGACGGACATTTGCACGCGATTTGCTACGAGCGGTAAATCGAGGGCTTTTTGGATTCATTTTTGAAATGCAAAGGTTTTAAAAGTTGTGTAGAAGGTGGTTTGTGCGTGAAAAATGTAATAGAAAATATTGTATTTATAGTGTTTTTTGAAAATAATAATAATAATAATAATAATACCAATTTCTAGCCGTTGGCAACAGCTAGAAACGGCTCCTTCCCCATTTTTCCTGCGGCAAACCTATACACGAACAAACCCTTATCGCATTTTTTTGGCACCTCGGTAGGGTGTTTACCTCATACCGCGGTATGCGGTACATGGTGCCTGTACGGCAAATTTACCTACTGTATCAATGATCGGAAACATCCAAAAATTACTTAACCCCATACCAACAAATTAAGCATCCGAATCACATTGCGATTCTCCACAAAATTATAATGATTCAACCGAAAACGATTAGAAACATGTCTCATAGCTTAAGATGTCTCATAGCTTAAGAGGAAAGAATTGGTCACAATAATCAAATCAACACAAATCGGATTCATGAAAGTTTAGATACGGTGTCTAACAGTAAAGAATATCAATCAAAGCATCTAGTTCTTGTACTTAGATGACACTGATAACGAAAGTGCAATAGATACAAAATACTATGATATTGTTACCTAGGTTCTCAATCGAACCGAGAACGATGGTGTCTGGAATCGGAATCACGACCCTCGCGACTAGACATTGCTATTGGTAGGTCTTGTAACTTGTTGGCTTCATCTCATTCTGATTTAGGGGACATCAAATTTGTCACTGGAATCAAAGGATTCCACCGGAGTTCAGTCGTGATCATCAATTGAGACATTCTAGAAATCGACTCAGTTCGTTTAGCAACTGGGTATTGCAACAATGTTCCTCACTGGCTTCAGGTACTAAAATGACTGAATCTTTGTTTTTTCTATGCAGCAGGGTTTACAAGAAGAGGATTTGCAGGAGACGCCATGGAAATAGCTCAAGATATTGGGAATTTTAGGAAAGAGGAATTAAATCAGAAAAAAAAAAGGCATAAAAAAAAAAAGGAAAGTAACTACTCATAAAAAATTCAGCTTGCCAACTCAGGTGAAGGTTACTGCAAAAATAGGTAAAACCATAAATGCAATAAGTGAACCCATTACACAAAATCTTAGGCTTTAATAAACCTAAAAACACCAAAAGGTACGACCGATAATTTTATGAAAATTTATGGGGCTTTTATGACAATTGCCCCTAAAATTAATATTATAGTTACATGATGATATTATTGCGATCCCACCCAAGTAAAGATCGATCGAGTTATATTATCATCTAATTTAAATTGGACACCGGTGGTTTGCCACCGATTACATTTGGCATCTACTAGAAGTGAGGATTGGGCACAACAAGTAAAGGGAACTTTCTATGGAGTGTAAGGCCAGTGTACTCGCTCATGTCCAGTTCCTCCCCTCTCACATCATCTGGCAATGCCAAATCATATTTGTACACAAGATTTGCTAAAACAAGCTCGTTAATAGCTATTGCAAACTGAATACCAGGACACCCTCTGCGTCCAGCACCAAATGGAAGGAACTCAAAGTGCATCCCTTTATAGTCAATAGAACTATTCAGAAACCTCTCTGGCTTAAACTGCTCAGCATCCTCCCAGAGTGAAGGATCTCTTCCTATTGCCCAAGCATTAATAATCACTTGAGTACCTGCTGGAATGTCATACCCCATTAATTTGACATATTCTGTTGATTTTCGAGAAATGAGTAGCGGGAGTGGAGTATGCAACCGGAGAGTCTCTTTGAGGACAGCATGTAAGTAATGCATTTTTTCCAAATCTTCCTCAGTGATCATAGATTTTCCTTGCGCTATTTCAGTGACCTCTTTCTGCAACTTTTTCATTACTTTCGGATGTCTTATTAGCTCGCTGATTGCCCACTCTATGGCTGCGAATGTAGTATCAGTTCCAGCAGCAAATACGTCCTACAAGATATACAAAAAAAAAATATTTAACCATGAATATTGATCCTAAAACATATTAGTATAATGTATGTGTGGAGCATTAATGCTAGCTAGTTTTAATCTTTCCATGACTATCTAAAGAGAGAGGCTGAACAATCTTACAATGATAGTTGCTTTAATGACATCTCTGTCAAGGGTAAAGTTGGTAGTATTTTCTCTTTGAGCATCCAGTAAGATGTCAACGTAATCCTGGCTTTCATAGTTTTCACCAGCTATATCGCCTTCTTCCACTGTTCTTTTCTTATTTATATGTTCTTCAAGAACAACCTCTAGAAACTCATCAAATTCTTCAGCGACTTTTTTTGTTCTTGCCTCTAGACCACTCAGTCGATCCACCCACGACAGCCATCCAATATAATTTCCAACGGAAAAGGCACCAAGCAGATATGCAAACCTTGCCAACAAGTCATTGAACTTCATCCCATGATATGTCCTCCCCAGGGCAACCCTGCAAACTATATTGTTTGTAAGCGAATTTAGCAAATCGCCTAAATCAACTAAAGAACCACAATTTTCTCCAATCTTGTCAATCAAAAGACGAGTCTCCTCTTCTCTCACTCGTTTAAATGACTGAACTCTTCTACTGCTTAGAAGCGCAAGCACTGCAATGCTCCTCACCTGCCTCCAATACTCTCCATAAGGAGAAAATGCTATGTTCTTAGATCCATAAGTAAGCGTGTCAGGAATACTTAATTTTGGGTCTGTTGGCGAAGATTACATCATGGGTTTTTAAGATTTCCCGGGCTGCTTCAGCTGTGGAGGCTACAAGCACGGGTACACTGCCAAGTTGAATGAGCACAAGCGGACCTTGTGCTTGGGTTAAGGCCTGAAGAGAACGGTGGGGGTTCGAGCCTAGTTGATGAAGGTTTCCAATGATTGGAAGCTTTCTTGGGGATGGTGGTTGGTTTTTGTGGGTCTTCGAAGCAGATGAAAACATTTTATAAGGAATGAATAGCAGTAGCACAATTAGCGTTAAAATAAGAGGAAAAAGAGGGAGATCAAATGACAAAAACATCATTTCTTAATTAATCGTACAAGCTAAGCAATTAACTCTTGCTTAAGAGGTTGTGTATGGACAGGGTTGGGTGTATGCCTATATATAGACTTAATTTACGAATATTAGCTGTTGTTAATTACACCCCATTAGTGTGAGCAAATTGTGTGAGGATTTTTATTAGTTTATCTTATATTGTGTGCCCCAAGATCAGATTTGATTTTCATTTTGCACCTTTTTATATATTTATATAGTATATATATTATATTATATATAAAAATTGCTGTCGTTTTTCACGTGGCCTATTACTATGTTAGGCCATGCTAAAAATATCCAATTTACATAAATGGCCAATGGGTTTTTCTTTAATTTTCAAACACTATCCAAATTACATACCGGTCCTTAGACTCTTCTGCATTATTCACAAACTACCCATCTTTCATTTATTGTAAATTTTTGTTGTCTTAGAAAAATTACAAGTTTAACCCCTACAGCAATTATCCTTTTTATATTATCAAATATTTATAGAAATAGTCTCTACTGCCTATATTATGTATACATAAATGATATATAATTGAGAAATATTCAGAAAAATCCTAATATTTTAAGAAAATTTAAGAAAAAAGACTCAAAAAAATTGAATAGAAAAGTGTAAAAAAACGGTTAATTTATTCAATTTAGCCATTTTTAACATTTTCAGCAGATAAACTGCCTATGTGATATGTCAAGCTAGACATTTTGTTGAAGTGGCATCTGACTCTTCAAAAAAAAAACAATATTTATCTTCTTCACCCATCATACAATCCATCTTCCTCTTCCTTTGAAACTATATAGAAATGAATCTCGACATCAACGTTTTATACACACATTCGAGTCTGCTCAACAACGAAGATTCGTTCATCCAAATAATCCTTTACTTAATTTCAATCCATCCACAAATCATAGAATGTCCAATTTCGAATCCTCTTAATCTCCATTCAAACTATCGAAACACCATTTACCAGTCTCAAAATCCCATTCTGCTTTCAAACAATTTTGAAATCATTAATCAATCATTAATCAAAACACATCATCATCTACATCGTTAAATAGCCAATTTCGATCCAAGTAACAACACAAAAATATCTTCAACAACTCCAAAAATATTGTAACAATTGCGAAAATTGTCATCGGTCGTTAACCGCTGAAAGTGACAAACACCAAGTAATAGATTTAATACGTAGACAAAACTACAAAAAAGGTCCCTGTTATGTATTTTTTTTTCCAAGGTTTACTCCAAACATCGATTTTTTTTTTTGGCTCTGTGGTCATTTTGAGCTAGTTTCGTTGCATTTTTTGTCCCTTGGAAAACTGAAAAGACTAAATTGCTCTTCTGATACTTTTTTAGGTTTTTTAATTTAATTTAATGTTTTATTAAATTCAAAGATAGGGCCCCCCACACACTCTCTTTCTCTCTCTCTCTCTCTCTCTCCACCAGAAAAAACCCATCTCGAATATTAGGTTAGCATTTAACATGTTGTTTGTCTCCTTCTTTGCTTCAAGTTAAACAATTCAAGATGTTTAAGAGGTTAGGGACGATTGGAGGAGGTAAAACCAATTCAGATCAATGTGTGTTTTGTTGGTTTTGATTGGTTAGTTTGAAAGCAATCAAGTATCAGAAGAATCGAAATCTTAGAATATGTTTAATTCAATATCGAAAAAAGGGTATTAAATTATTATCATTAAAGTCACTGAAGAATCGAGAATCATGAATTAGGAATAAGGAACATTCTTTTTGTTTATCACACCAAAATGTGTCACTGTTGTTGTTAGTGTGGGTTTTGATTTGATCAGTTGTTCTTTGTTTTTTTTTTAGATTTTGCGAACGAAAACCTAGTTCCATCCATCAACAACCCATTCGCGAATGCCCTATTCTCTCTAACATTGAGCCTAAACAGATCAAAGTTTGGTTTCAGAATCAAAGTACGAAACCTACAAACCTTTATCTCTTTTTCCTCTTCAACTTCAAAGATTTTCATGTCCTGATTTTTGGTTATGGTGTTCGTGTTCTTGGTTATGGTGTTCATGTTCGTGTTCATTTTCATTTATTTTGTTTTGTACTACAGATGCATAGAGAAACAGAAGAGAGAAGCTTCACGCCTTCAATGCATGAATCGTAAACTATCAGCGATGAATAAACTCCTCATGGAAGAAAACAATTGATTACAGAAGAAAGTGTCACATCTGGTGTATGAAAATGGATTTTTTCGCCAACATACTCCTCAGAATGTAAAAAATTTCATTTAAAACAATTCGCATTACCATTTTAAAGTTCTATAAAATTGTTTCATCGAGCTTTTTCATACTACAGGCGACTCGTTCTTCAAAAGGTACGAGTTGCGAGTCGGTGATGACGATTCATTTGACTCAGAATCCACCACAGAATGCTAGTACTGCTAGGTTAGTCACGATTCATTCATTTTTTTTCTTCGTTTTCTTTACAATCGAACATGTTATGCATTTATTTTTGTTAATTTTGTAAAGTGATTATTGAATTGATGAACTGAAGATCAAATTTTTGAGATGGGTTTTTTCTGGTGCATATATATATATATATATATATATATATATATATATATATATATATATATATATATATATATATATATATATATATATATATATATAACACCCGGAATCTAGAAGATTAATTTTGGAAATAAATCCCTTTTCCTAGGGACCAACACGACGAGTTGATGGTGGGAAACTCGACGTGTCGGAGGCTTTTGGGACGAGCGTTTTTATGAACCAACACGGCGAGTTGGTGAAGGGAACTCGACGAGTTGGACACTGATTGAGAAACCCTAATTTTAGGGTGTTGCACCCTATTTATAGGCCTTAAGTTCTTTGGCTGGCCTCCTTACCAGCCTCCTCTGTCCAGAAACCCTAAATTCGAGCCTTATCTTCCATTGTTGAGTGTGAGAGCATTGGGAGAGCCTTGAGAGTTCATTTTTGGTGCATGTTGAAGGAGCTAAGGAATTAGGAGTTGCTTGGCTTGAAGAAGAAGTCTTGGATCCAGAATCTTTGTCTCATTTGCCAAGTTTTTGAGGTATCAAGTTCTCACCTTGCTTATTAGTTGCTTAGATCTCTTCTTGGGTTAGATTTTATGCTTTTAGCCATGGTTGGGTGGATGTTGGGGATTAGGACGTCCCAAATGATTATTCTTTCATATATAAGGTCTTCATGAGCTCTTTTGGCATAAAGGTGCCAACTTTATGGATTTAAGGGCTTCGTGCATTCATTAAGTCTTTCATTTAGCCTTTTTTGAGCTTTTGAGCTCCCTAGTCATACTGAAGCGTAAAGTTGGAAAGTTTACGTGGCCATCTAGCCTTATGGGGATCAGATCTATATTTTAGGGTTTTGTATTTGATGATTAGGTGCTTAATGGTTAAGCTCTCACTCTTTTAAGTCTAGGCTTTGAGTTTGGACCCATTTAGGTGATTTATAGGGGTAAAGTTGGAAACTTTACCCTTCTAGATCTCATTTTGGTCGAGATCTGAGCTTTGGAGTTCTTGGATTCGGTGAAGGCAGCTTAATGTATTATGTTGTTAGGTCTCGGGCGAACTCGGCGAGTTTGTGGGTCAACTCGGCGAGTTGTTTTGGTTTTCCCCGTTTCTGAGTTGATGGAGAAACACGACGATTTGGTTGGTTAACTCGGCTTGTTGGGTCGTTGAGGATTATGGATCTTGAATTTTTGACTTCGGTCTTTGTCCATGGTTGTCCCAAGGAGTGTTGAGGTAATCTGAATTGTAGTTGTGGAATCATGGGCTTATGATAAGGCCCATATGGGGTTGGGCCAAATTGGAAAATTTGGCCATTAATGGACCTTTGTGAATCTTTTGGTTTTGGGCATTTTGGTTATTGGATTTGGGCCTCAATTTTGGTTCTTGTTGGGTCAAGGGTAAAAGGGCCATTTTACCCCAAGTATGGTTAGTGGGCCTTGGAATGGAATCCAATAGCTAATTGGGTATTATTTTGATCTGGTAGTTCGGAGGTGTCGTCAGGGCAGCAGCTAGGGAATTCTTTCAGTGAGCTTTTGTATTCGAGGTGAGTCTCCTCACTGTTCTATGGGTAGAAGGCACCAATGCCGACACATTTGGTTTATGTATTATAGGAAGACCCAGAGGAAACCCTTGGCAGTTTGTATGAAATACCAGGAGGCGGCTCTTGGCAAACTGTATACAAGACCAGAGTCTGAACTTTGGTAGTTAACTAGTTAAGTAGTGTAGATTGTATGCTGGTTGTCTTTGTCATGCTTGTATGGAAGACCCAGAGGTGGCTCCTGGCACTTGTCTGTAAGACCCAGAGCTTTGGCCCCCGACCTGGCAAGGAAGACCACGAGGCGGCTCGTGGCATAATGGCAAGACTATGGATGCCACATAGCACCTTTATTGATTGTGGTATATGATGGGTTTGAGCCATAAGAACTTTCCTATGTGCACATGCAAACCCTAAATGCTTGGATCTAGGTTTCTCTATTGTACATGCAATTTATCCAAGTCTTGCAAATCCTAGATCTAGTGTATACAATTCGAATTTGACATAAGAAACTCAGATCTAGATGGTTACCTCTTGTTGTTTGCTTGATTCTTCTTGTCTTGGAGCTTAGAGTCACAAGTGTCACTCCTCTAATGGCTTACAAACACCAATTGACAAGAGGGCAATATGAGATAGGGTAAGGACTTATGATTTTCGGCTCTAGGGTTTCCAGGAGAACAAGTGGCCCATGGAACCTAATGGACAACTAATGGACAACTTATACTGTGAGCAGTTAGGGTTTCAGTCAAAACCCTAATGGACAACTTAATCACCAAGCAGCCCATGGAACCTTCTGGAGTAAGGCCTTGGACGAATTCTAGATGGGTTCCCACCCATAATTCCGTCCACCCTTTAATCCAATAGGT